CACTACTCATCAAAGTCTTCACTCAAGGAACCTACAACCTCTTCTGTCCTCCCTTCTCAGGGAATCCAACTCTACCCTGCCTTGGCCACCCTCTCTCTTCAACTCCATGCCCCCCTTCTCTTGACAGACCCAGGTCTCCCCAGCAACATCTGGGTGGGATGATCTTCTAGGAATCCAGGACCTCACTGTGCTTCTAGGAAGAAGATATGTCCCAAGGGAACAGACAATGTGTGATATAAACTAATCTAGGGGAGCAGAGGAGGAAGCAACATCTCAGCTGAGATGTGACAGAGGTGTAGGAGTGGGTTAGGTGACGAAAGGGCTGGGGAGCCTGCGGTAGAGTGTTCCAGGCAGAGGAACCATCATCACAGCAATAGCTAACACATACTGAGCACTGCCTACATGCCAGTTACTATAAAGCGGGTACTTTCGTTGTCCCCATTTTATGAAACTTACAGAAGAAGTTCAGCAACGTGCTCAAGGTCAGGCAACCAGTAAGTATCTGAGCTGGGATTTCAAATCCAATGAGTCTGACACCGAAGCCCTGCTCTTAACCACTCAGATTAACCCGGAAGTGAGAGAAATAGGGTATTTTTAGAACCGAAAGCAGTTTATTTTGGCTGGAACATAGCATGTGAAGGGGAAGGTGGTACAACAAGAGACTAGTGAGGTAGAGAGAGAGCAAAAGCATGGAGCATCCTGCAGCCGTGTTACTGCTTGAAGGCAGCAAGCCCGGATGCAGAGAGACCATTTCAGAGGCGATGTCAGTAGTTTCAGCAAGAAATGATGGTACAGCAGACTAGGAAGATGGTGGTAAGAATGAAGAACAATGGCAGGATTCGTGGGTTCTCTAGGAAGAATGACCAGGACTTGGTGATTGCTTAGAGGTAGAGAATTGGGGGGAAAGAGAGAGAGGAGTCAAGAATGACTCTCAGGTGTCTGGCCGGGGCAACTAGACGGATGTTGGTCCCAACCCTATTTCTTTCACTGATTTGCTGTGTATCTTTGGGGATCTCACCCAGGCTTTCTAGATGTCTGTCTTCCTAGCTATAAAAAGAAGATAAGGAAACCCGATCTCCCTATGTATCTGATGGTGTCAAGATAAGATGAAATCATCAATCTGGGAGCACTTCGGAAAGTCAAAAGTACTTTGCAAATGCAAGTGGTTATTATTTTATGGTTATTGTTGAGGACCTCCCTCTCCTGGGGCTTTCGGATGGAGCCAGACTGACAGGCATCCCAGGGGAGCTGCCCGCTCTCTCAGAGGCAGTCACAGTATTTTCCATCAGGCAGATCTGTCTTGATGGCAGGTGGGAGCCACATTCCCACGTACTAAATTGTTAATAGCTTCCCCATGGAGTTCCTTTCTGCTCTGACTCCTTCAGTGATTTCTGTTTCTCCAGTGCTGACGCGTGCTGATGCCCTGGGTTGGCCCAGGATTTCCCATCTGTTTTTGTTTTTTTTTTACCCTGAAGTCAAGGATGGGGACAAGCTCCAAGCAGACCCAAACCTTTCAGTAACCCAGGCTTGGAGGGCTGTGTCTACTCTGCTCCACCAAGAGGAGGGACGGACTCAAGAATCTCCTGAGCTCCCAGGAACTCATCACCCTCCATAGTGGGGAAACTCTGCCGAGCAGAGACAAGAACAATGGGTTCTTGTGTTTTTGGGGGATGACTTTCTAGTTTTTGCTCTGAGAGGTAGCGTAGTGTGGTAGTCAGGAGACTGGCATTTTTTTTTTTTGTGAGGAAGATCAGCCTTGTGCTAACATCTGCCAATCCTCCTCTTTTTTTGCTGAGGAAGACTGGCCCTGTGCTAACATCTGTGCCCATCTTCCTCCACTTTATATGGGACGCCTTCACAGCATGGCTTGCCAAGCAGTGTGTTGGTGTGTAACCGGGATCGAACCGGCGAACCCTGGGCCGCCGCAGCAGAGCGCACGCACTTAACCGCTTGCGCCACCGGGCCGGCCCAAGGAGACTGGCTTTTTGAGTCACACAGACCTGGCTTGGCATCCCAGCTCTGGCTTGGGCACTAAGCTAATCTCTGCAAAATGGAATAATAATAGTAGAACCTCATGCCTATAGGGCTGCTGAGGATTAAATGAAATAATCCACAAAGCATTTAGCCCAGTGCCTGGCACACAGCAAACTCTCTATAAATGGCAGCCAACATGATTATTTATGAGTTGTCACCACAGAAATGAGATTGCCTTTTAAAGATAAATAGACTAGAATGCTCACATCCAAGTAAGAATTGAGCTCTTCAAAGTACTCTCTGTGGGAGGCCATGAGAGAAACCCCTTCCCATGCCTTTCCAGTTTCCATGTGTTCTTCCAATGTCCTCAAGGGGGGCAATTCACGTGCAATTGGCACGTGTCTTAGTCAGTTTGGGCTGCTATAACAAAGCACCATAGACTGAGTGGCTTACACACAACAGAAATTTATTTCTCCCAGTTCTGGAGGCTGGAAGTCTGAGAGGGTCAGCATGTCAGGTTCTGGTGAGGACCCTCTTCTAGGTTGCAGACTGCTACCTTCTTGTTGTATTCTCACGTGACAGAGCAGAGGCAGCAAGCAAACTCTTAAAAGGGGCAGTCCACAACAGCATGTGTTTCCTTAGCAATTATTTCGCTCATGTACTTGGTCATCTGCATATCTCTCACAGCTTCTTGACTGTGAGCTCTTTCAAGAGAGCAATGGTCTTACTCAACCTCACGGTTCAATAACTCACGCTCATGCAGCCTTTCTCAGTTGCACCAATCCTGCACCTCTCCACTTTATAGATGAGAAAACTAAGGCTCAGTGAAGTTAAGGGAACTCTTTTTCTGTCTGTTGCCTACACGATAGCTATGACTTTCCACCATAGCATTTCCGTACCCAAGAGGGACTCAAAAAACATTGCGGAATGCAATTTTTAAAAGTTCCCTTCTGGGCCGGCCCTGTGGCTTGGTGGTTAAGTGCGCGCGCTGCGATGCTGGCGGCCCGGGTTCGGATCCCGGGTGCGCATCGAGGCACCACTTCTCCGTTCATCCTGGGGCCGAGTCCCACATGCAGCAACTAGAAGGATGTGCAGCTACGACACACAACTATCCACTGGGGCTTTGGGGGGAAAAAATAAAATAAATAAAATCTTTAAAAAAAAAAATAAATAAATAAAAGTTCCCTTCTGCCCAGTATGACCAGAGCACGTGATTGGGGCGGGGATGGGGGGGTGGAGTCAGAAGAGGGCAGCAGTAACCCCTGGTTGGGACCAGACTGGGGAAAGCCCCAAATGCACTGCCAAGGAGTGAGGGTAGACTGATTTGGTTACAGCTAAAAGCCAAGAGCAGGGGTGGAGCTGGGAACTAGTACTGCAGTTCCAAATAAGATGTGATTACAGAGTTTATGCAAAAGGTTTTAGGCGCTTAAAAGAATCCCTAGGTCCTATATTAATCGATATCTGCTGTTTCCCTCATCAACATGGGAGCTCACCAAAGTTGGAATTGAGCTTCCCATTCCATCACTCATTGAGCATCAGGGACTGTAGCAAGGTGGGGGTACAGATGCGCACAAGACCTGTTGTAGAGTGATGCACAAAAATCCAATGATTACACAAACAAATACGTGGGGAATTCTGTAAAGAAGAGGTGCATGATGCTATGAGAACAAATAACAGAGCACCTGGTCTAGGTGGTGGAGGGAGGGGCAGTCAGTGAAGGTTTCATGGAGGAAGTGATGTTTAAGCTGAAACTTGAAGGATGAATAACATTTAGCCTGGGGAAGTGGCCGAGCCTTCCAAGTAGAAAAGAGAGAGTGTGCAAATGTCCTGAGGTAGGAAAAAAATTGGCTTGTTGGAGGGGTAAGGAGGGTGCCAGAACTCTAATAAAAGTAGCCCTTCTTCCTGTCCCAATTTCTCTCCCTGGCACCAGAAAAATCTCTGAGTACCAGGCCCTTTGGGACAGCGGAGAGAGTTTTGGCAGCACATGTGACCACACAGCAAAAATCGTCTGTCTGATGAGTCCTTAGATGGTTGAGTGGGAAAGCCTTGGGGTGGGGAGTCTGCTATAGCTGGTAAGGGGTCTTGGATAGTAGCTGGGAGGGGCAAAGAGAATGGGGAGGAGGGTGAACGTGGGAAACCGGGCTTTGTTCTTTCCGGGAAAGGGTAAGAGCCTTGCACATAGATGGAGGACTCAAGTCAGAGAGTGATATGAGTGAGGGGTCCTTGCTCAGCCACTCACAGGGCCAAGAGCATCACCCCAGAGTTTAGAGCTCAGGAACACCAATGTTGTCCCATGGCAACTCCCCCCCACCCCAGGGCCTTTATTTATCCAACCAGTATTTCCTGAGCACCCATTGTGACCCCAGCCCTCTGCTAGGTGCAGGGATCAATCAGGCCTGGTCTCCCCAAGGAGGAAACACACTTAGAAATAATTTCCATCTGGGATAATTTAGTGCCTTGCCTAGTCTTCTCGTCTGTAAAATCGGGATACTAACCATAGAATGTACTCCAAAGTGTTGATGCACGGATAAAGCGCCTATCATAGTGCCTGGAACAGAGTAAGAGTTGGTAGAGAGAATGTTCTGGGAAGGACATGAGCCCCAAAAAGGAAGATGGCTCTGGGTCTGGGCTGGTCAGGTTTGGGAGAGGATGTGGGAAGTGCTTCCCTTTCCATCTGCTCCTACAGCCACCAGAGTGATCCTTAAGGTGGTCTTTGTGACCCTGCCCACCACCTCATTCCATTCTCCCCACCCTCGCTCCCTGTCTTCTCTTCATGGCCTCCTTTTGGTCCGTCTGACCACAGGGTCTTTGCACATGTGGTTCCTTTGTCTGGAATGCTCTTCCCTTGTTTCTTCTCTAAATTAGTTCCTCCCCAAACTTCACCTCTCACCTCAGGTGTCATTTCCCCAGGGAAGCCGTCGTGACCTCTGGGTTTTGTAGGCCCTGCCACAGGAATGCTTCGCTTTCCTTCACTTTCCTCGGTGTGTAACTCTGTCTTCATTAGTGTAGTGTTGGGACTGATGTCTCTCTCCTCCACTGGGCTGCAAGCCCCAGGATGCAGGGGCCGCATCTGATTTTGTGCAGTGGTGGATCCCCAATAGTACCCGGCTCTTATATTTGGCACCTAAAAAATATCAATTGAGCGAATGAATGGGGCGCAAGAAAACCACGGATGATAACAGTTATTTATGGAGCACTTATTGCGTGCCCGGCACTGGGCTAAGTTCTTCACTGGCATCATCTTATTCAATCTCCCCAACAACCCTGTGAGGGAGCTGATGCGATTATCCTCATTTTACAAACGAGGAAAATGAAGTCGAGAGAGGTTAAGAGACGTGTTCAAGGTCACTCTGTTCGTTGGTGCAGGGGCGAGAGGCAGGATTCATGTCCAGGTCCTTCTGACTTCAGAGCGGCAACGGGTGGGGAGGTAAGTCGGGGCCGGGGTGGAGGTGCACTCGAGCCTACGGAGCATCCCTAGGAGGGAGTGGGAAGCCTCCCAGCCCAGCTGCAAGCCGGTGGTGCAGCGCCCGCCCCCGGTCGCGGGCGCAGACTGGCGGCCGCCTCCGGGCCACGTGGTGCGCGCGGCGGGCGCGTCCGAGGAGCCCGCAGCGGCTTCCGGCTCAGAGCGCTCCGGGCCAGGAGAGCGGGCGGGCGCCGGGCTCAGGGCGGTGCGGGCGGCGAGGCAGGCGGAGGAGGCGCAGAGGAAGCCGGGTGGCCGGGGCGCTGCAGCTGGCGGCGTCGGAGCCGCAGCCTCGGGCCCCGGCGCGCCCCTCGCACCAGGTCTCTGCGCCCAGGGCGCACCGTGGGGAGGGAGGCGGCGCCGGCTGCCCGGCCACCATGGAGCCGGCCCCCTCCACCGATGCCGAGCTGCAGCTCCCTCTCCTCGCCAACGAGTCGGACGCCTTCCCCAGCGTCTTTCCCAGCTCGGGCGCCAATGCGTCGGGGCCGCCAGGCGCACGGAGCGCCTCGTCCCTCGCCCTGGCTATCGCCATCACTGCGCTCTACTCAGCCGTGTGCGCCGTGGGGCTGCTGGGCAACGTGCTTGTCATGTTTGGCATCGTCCGGTGAGTCCGCTTTGGGCTGGCGCCGCGGGGCTGGGCCTCGGGGTGAGGGTGGGGACCACGGACTTGGGACCCTGACCTGGGACCCCGGACTCCCGGGGTCTGCGCAATTCCTGCAGGGGGCACCGGGGACCCAGCGGGGAGACAGCTTCCATTGAGAGGAGGACTGGAATGTGTGTGTGTAACTAAAAAACATTCCATCATCTGTTGTCATCCCCGTCTCCATCAGGCTGTGGGACAGTTTGGCGACAGTTTGTGTGTCTGTCACGGTTTGTGAGTGGGTGATTCTGTTTGTGACAGTGCAATGTGTGTGGACCTCTGAAAACCTCGTAGGGGTGGGCAGAGATGCCCGAGGTGCCATGGGCCTCTGGGGAGACAGCTGTGTGTGGGTTGTCCATGCAGGTGGGCACAGGAGAGTGCGTGTCTGCACCATGCTGTAGGGCACTTACTAAGTCACATTTGGTGATCATCTGTTGGGGTCCCTGTGTTGCTGTGTGCTTGTCCCACACTGTCAGTTGTGATTCTGAGTATGTGACAATGTGACTGTGTTGTTCTTGTCAAACCTCTGAGCCCCTGGGGGGAGGAGAGCATCCAGAGAGGCTTTGGACACCTGTGTTCGTGCACCTGTGTGTGTGTTTGCTAACGGAAAGCCCATGTTCCTGGGGACAGGGGGCAACAGCTGTGGGCGGCCCAGTCGGCTTTCTGCTTCCTTCGCCAGTGGCCATCTGGTCACGAGCTCAGGAGTTGATTGAGAGAGGCCTCAGAGCCTTCTCGCAAATGCCCCTCATTTTCTCCTCCTCTCCTCTCACAGCTCTTCTTTCTGCCAAAGGCCGCAGTGGTTTGTTAGGGCTGGAGTGGAGTTTGTGCTTTCACCTTGGGAAGCGGAGTTCTCTTCTTGGTCTCTAGGCACGGTGCTGGGACTTTCGCAGAGCTCAAATATCATCAGCTTGCCCAGAAGCAGCCTTCCTGACCCAGCTCTGCCAGCTCAGACAGGGGCAAAAAGGGTGGAAAGGAAACTCCTATCCTATGACCACAAAAATGCCCTGGTGTTTACTGTTGGTTGGAAATGGGTCATCCGTGCTGGTTGACCAAGGGCACGGTCCTAAACCTCTCTGGGCTGTGGTGTCACCAGGCAGAGCAGATGGCAGAGGGCAGATTGTGGGCTCAGAAGTTGGAGATGTGAGCTGTGATCTCAGCCCAGTCCCTGGTGCCCGTCACAGCAGGGGCCCCATTTCTCCTGCCCCACCATCTGCCTCAGTTTCCCTGTCTGAAGAATAGAGACCCAGTCTCCTCAATTGGGAGTATGAATTCCAGAGTATGGGGTCTCTGCAGGGCAGAGTGTAGTGCATTCGAGCATTGGAGGGGTGGGTGTGAGTGTTGAGGGAGTTTTGGCATCGATGATCTCTGGAGAGATCTTTGCTCCTCCAGGAAGAGTGGAGGGCACGAGAAGCTCCTGTGCCTTCAGTGACTCATCACCAGCTGCAGTGGGAAGATTCCCCGAAGCACAGGCAGGATTGATCTTTGCTTTGCGTTTTTGTCAATGATTCTCCCCACTTTGCCTTTGGAGGTAGTGCAGGCTTTAGAATGGGCCAATCTGAGTATTAATCCCAGCTCTTCCACAAACTGGCTCCGTGACTTGGGTAAATCCCTCAGCCTCTCTGAGCCTCAGTCTCTTCATCTGTAGAATGGGGTAATAATAGAACCTTCTTCAATAGGGTTTTCGTGAGGTGTCAATGAGCGAGTATATATAATGCAGCTGGCCTGGTGCCTGGACCCAATAAATGGAAGCTGCCTGTGTGCTGAAGAGGAGGAATTTTCCAGATCCTTCAGAATACAGTGCCTATTAAAGAAGGGAATGAGGGAGGCGCTTGTCCTGAGGTGGGCCTGGGGGTAGCTCTGACTCTGAGAGGTCCAGGTTCCTGGCACTGCGCTCTCTGGGGAGGTCCTGGGAGCTCTGTCTGGGGGAAGCTGAGTGTCGGTGTGTTCAGTCCCGTTCCCGGCCTCTTCCCCAGGGCCTGTGGCTGGTGGGCTGATGAGCACAGCTCCCCTACTACCACTGAGCTGGGGGTGGGAGTGGGGGCTCTCACTTCTGATGGTCCACTCAAGCAAGGCCCTGGGCTCAGCCTGCAAGGGGTGCTCCCAACCAACCTTCCCCAAATCACATTGTCAAATGTGTCTTGCAAGCAGCGTAGGGCCCCCATAGGTCTCCACACTGCTAAGACATTAGGGCCAACCTTCTGTGTGATAACTGTATCTCTGGGTCTGAATGATTTCATCCTCACCTACAACCCTGTGGGATGGGCACTAGAATCCTCATCATTATCACCTCTGTTTACAGGTGAGGAATCTGCAGTTCTGAGAGAGAGGCAAGGTGACTTGTTCTCCTGAGGTCCCGTAGGCAGCCCTAGACCCAGAGCTGGAACACTGGTCTTGTGACTCCAAGTCCAGAACTTTTTCCAGAGCTGCCTGGGGTAGGGGACAGTCACAGAATTGCATGTCCCTCCTCTCATCCTAGAATCCTCAGAGAATGATGGAGACAAAAGGACTGTGATCTTGCATTACTCAGCCCCTGTAATTTAGGCTGCTGTCCTTGGGGGAGGGGACATGAGGGGGGCTGGTTCCCCACTGAGAGGGAGGCTAAGCACAGGGCAGTTGCTGGGGCTCGGCTTCTGCTGGCAAAGTCCCCAGGGCAATGGGGGGAGGGGAGCCCAGGATGGGGAAAATGCCCTGGTCTATCTGGTTCTCTGGCACCCCATGCAGGGCCTGATACAACCAATAAGTGAGTTAGTTGATTGGTTGAATGAATGACTGACTGAATGAATGAATTCTGCCTGTCAGTCCTGAGCTTAGGCAGTTTGGGAGGCAGGGAAGGTTTGCCAGGGAACATCCACAGGACCCTTGTGGCAGGTAAGCAGGGTGGAATAGTGGCAGAGCTGGGGCTCTGAAGCCAGACATAGCCAAGTTCAAATCCTGAGGTCAAAGCCACTTACTTGCTGTGTATTTGGGCTAGTGCCTTCAGCTCTCTGAAGCTCCTTTCTTCACCTATAAAGTGGGAATAGCAATGGTGCATCCCGGGTTGTGGTGAGGATTAAATGAGATAACGTGTTGTATCTGAGCCTTTTAAGCCCTTGGGGAACAGGGAAGGTCTCCGTGTGAAGGAATGAAAAGAATTAGCTCATTCCAGAAAATTCTGTGGATGTACTGTGCTAGATGCTGACATGAGGAAGTGGTAAGGAAAAAAATACACTGTCCCTGCTCTCATGGAGCGTAGAGTCTGGGGGGAGAAATAGACATTCATTAGCTAGTCATCCAACAAGCTTAAATTTGTAGCTGTGCTGAGAGCTGTGGAAGAGTGTGGGGGGCTGGGATCCCACGATGGGGGGAGGGTCTCACCTGGTCGGGGAGTTCAGAGGAGGCCTTTGAGGAGCTGAAGGATGAGGAGGGGGTAACTAAATAAAAAGCTGAGGGAAGAGCCTGTGACGGGAAGCTTGACACAGATGAGACGCTGAAAAAAACAATCCAGGAATCTCAGAATCCCAGATCATGAAGCAGCCTCCGTTCCCTCCGCCCCCACACTCTGACCCTCTCCTGCTCCGTGGACCCGCCTGAGAAGCCCACTCCTCCTTCAGGATGCATGAGAGGGGCTTCTGGGAATTGCACTCGTAGCAAACAGCCTGTGGTTCCTGAGGCTTCCGTGAAGTGTGAGCAGGACTTTTGGGACGTCTGGTCCCCAGGCAGAGCATTGCTCCCTACTCCTGCGGTGTGCGTTTGGCCAGCGTGGTGACTCGGTCGGTCCTCAGAGCTGGACAAGCCCTCCTTCTGGGTGGAGTTGTGCCTTGAGCAGAGGATGTCAGAGTTCTTGTTGGCATCCTCTAGGCAGGGTAGACTGTGAAGGGCTTAGCAGACCGCCCCCCGGTCTCTGACAGGTGACCCCATCTTTGCTTTCCACGGCCCAGAACTTCCTGGTTTGCCTGCCCCAGAATCCAGGCAGGAGAGTGGAGTTGATGCTTTTCCACCTGGCCTCTTGTCTGTTCCACAGCATGCCCTGTCTCCCTGCCTCCACCTCTCCCTGATCCTGGTTTCAGCAAGTTCACACCCTGCTGTGTCTCCTTCCACCCCCACCACCCCCCTCCTGCCCCCTTGCTTCTTCGTGACTCTCTTTCAGGCTGTGTGCTACTCAGTGCTGAGCCCCTCGATCTCTCTCTCAGCCCGTGTCTCTTCTGACTCTCCTTGGATCAAATGCTGGCTCTGCCACCTCCTAAGATCTTCAGCGAGTTGGGTCACCACTCTGCAGCTCAATTTCTTCGTCTGTACAGTGTGGATCATGTTACCTGTCTCATAGGCACCCTTGTCCTAAAGATCGGATAAGACGATGTTGGTAAAGCGTCGTGTTTGCTCTCCCATCCCAGGTGACTGCAGCACAGAGCAGGGAGGGGAGGTTGGGCCAGGCAGTGTGGGCTGGGGTGGGTCACGACAGGTGAATGAGGGGTTCTGGTCGTCCCTTCTGTCTGTTACCAAGGTGCCAGGGGTTGCTGGGACAGGTGCTCAAGTGTGGGCTTTGCAGAATTGGGAGCTCTGAGTCCCTGTCTTGATTTTGGAGGCCCAGCATGAGCGCCTTGCCTTCTTATGTCCCTTCCCTCTCTTGCTCGGGTTGGGCTCCACAGACCGAGGGCCCCTAGGCAGGAGAGATTCCAGTGAGGTGACACAGTGCGGCGGTAAAGGTCGCGGCTTGGAGTCAGGTAGTTCCGGGTCTCCATCCCAGCTCGATCACATCCTAGTGGTGGCTTTGGGCAGACAGCTTAACTTCCCTGAGCCTCATTTCTGCATTTGCAAAATTGAGGTGATCAGGATAGGTTATGGAGAGGATCAGATGAGATCATGCATAATAGGCCCTCAATACAGGCTGCGATTAACCAGCACCCCTGCAGCTGCTCCAGGCCGCCGAGCGGGTGGCTGTGAGGCCTGATTGTCTGCATTTTCCACCTTGGGCCCTTTCCCTCTTCCTGCATCATCTGCACATTTACTCACTCGACAAGCATTTGCTGATGTTGACCCCTGCCAGACCCATCCGGCCTCAGTTCCCACCGTCCAGACTCTCAGCTTAAGCCTCAGCATGGCCTCTGGCTCTTAACACAGCCCTGGCCCTTGGGACCCTCTGGTTAGTTACAGCTCCGGGGACAATTGCAGCTTCCTGGAGGTGTAGCTGTCCAGGGGAGGCACCTGACCCAGCCAGGGGAGGTGACGCCGGTGCTGAGTCGTGCAGGAGGAGCAGCAGTTGGCTACGTGGAGGTGGGGGGTGGAGTATTCCAGGTAGAGGGAACAACATGAACAAAGAAATGTTTAGCGGATGATCTGATGATCGAGAGCTGCAGAGGGCAGGGAAGTTCACCATGGCTGAGCTGAGGGTGCCAGGGGCTGGGGCAAAGACGGAGAGGCTGTAGGGACGAAAGTAAGATAGGTCTTGCAAGCAGGTGTCCTCCTCAGCATGGTTGTCAAGGTGCCTGCTGTGTGGTGGGCTTTTGCCAGGCCCGGAGCCAGTGATGAATCCACCGTCTATAGTCTCTGCCTTCCAGAATTCTCGGTGAGGTGCAAATGTTAGGAGACTCCGTGGACCAGCCCCAGGTAATTGGAGGCAGTTGTTCTCGTGGGGACGTGGGGGAGGGAGGACTGAGTAGGGCCCTGGAGACAGGCTCAGCATGGCTGTGTTAGGGGCCAGAGGCTACGCTGAGGCTCGGGTTGCAAGTCTGGACAGTGGGAGCTAAGGCTGGACAGGTTCTTGGGTCCCCAGTAAGATAAGGCTGGGAAGTGAGGGAGCTTTGGGTCCCACGGGGAAGAGGACTTTGGAGCAATCGGTGCAGAGTGGTGTCCAAGAGGATGAATTTGGTGTGGGCGGGTGTGGGGTAGGACAGAGAGGAAGGGCCTCAATGTGGGGAAACCAGGGAGGCCAGTTTAGGGCAATGGAAGAGAGCTGTGTGACCTTTGATGGGTCACTGAAACCCTGGCCTCAATTGTCCCCTTTCTAAAATGGAGTGCTGTCAGACCTACCAGAAGGCGGGAGGCTGGGCCAGATGACCTCTGGTGAGGCTGAGCAGGGAGAGCAAGCAGCAGCCCTGGCTGGTGTTCCCACCGCACCTCCTGGCGCTGTCCCAGAGCCTACCCCTCCCAGGTCTCGGGTTCATTCCCTGGGGAGTGTGTGTGACTCACAGACACACTGGGGTGAGTCCAGAGGAGTCACTGAGGGCACTGAGGAGCCTCTGCTGAGCCTCAGCCATGTGCCGGAGGCTTCTCCAAGCCGCAAGACAGAGCTGCCATGGGGGCTGTAGGTTCTCGTTTATAGATGAGGATGGGAAGGCTCTGCCTCAGAGAGGCAGAGGTGCCACTGCTGTCACTCTGCCACTGCTGTCCATGAGACCCGTGAGGAATGGGGGCGAGAGCTGGGGATGTAGAGTTAGAGAAGGGAGGAACAGGCTGGGGAGGAGGGCAGATGGCTGTGGGCAAACCTCTGATGCCTCTGTGGGTTAACAGCAGTTGAGAGCCCGGACGGCGGAGCCAGACTGCCCTGGGATCACATCCCAGCTGTGCCCTTTACTAAGAGAGTGAGCCTGGGCGATATGTGCACAACCTCTCTGAGCCTCAGTCTTCTCATCTGTGAGATGGGAGTAGCAATAGACCCTCACAGGGTGGTTATGAGAAGTTCATGAGGCGTGACGTGAAGGACTTCAGCACAGAACCAGGCATTTGGTATGTACTCAATAAACGTTTTCTATCATTATGGCTATTTAGAAGAGGAGAGAGACTTGCTTCTCATTCATTTGATTGACATTTATCAAGCACCAAAGGAACTGGAATTATTGGGTGGATGCTATAGGGAGACTTTATCAGCTCAGTATTAGAAATTTTCTTTTACAATAAAGTTAACATAGTAGTTATTTCAGAAAATATGGAGAAGTTTAAGCAGAGACACACGTTACCCATAATCCCACCACAAAGAGAAAACCTTTGTCATTTTGGTCTATTTCCTTCCTGTGTCTTTTTCTGTGCCTCTGTGTGTGGGTGTGTGTGTGTGTGTGTGTTTTTTTTTTTTTTTTAAAGATTTTATTTATTTATTTTTTCCCCCCAAAGCCCCAGTAGATAGCTGTGTGTCATAGCTGCACATCCTTCTAGTTGCTGTATGTGGGACGCGGCCTCAACATGGCCGGAGAAGCAGCGCGTCGGTGCGAGCCCGGGATCCGAACCCGGGTCGCCAGCAGTGGAGCGCGCACTTAACCACCAAGCCACGGGGCCCGCCCCTGTGTGTGTGTTTTAATGACATCAGGGTCACACTATATTGAAAAATGATTGCATTATATATAACATTTTGTAAGGTGCCTTTTCACATAACATTACATCAGGAGTATGTTTTCATATTATCAAACGGTCTTTGAAAACATGATTTTTGATGGCTGCATTGTGTGAATGTGTTCTATTTGGGGGGGACTTATGTTATTGCCAATATTATACCAATCTAAATAATGCATCTGTGAACATTCTTGAACACTTATGTTTGTGCACATCTCGTATTATTTCTAT